AACTTGGAAATGGTTGTTTGCATTGTGGGTGGCAACGCGATTTGAAACTCGAGCCGCGGTGGCCCGAGACGGTCGGCGCGTCAGCCGCCGTTTTGTGTGAGGTTGCGTACTCACTCAGGCGTCCTGCCCACGGGGAAGTCTTTTGCTCCGAGCGACGCAAACGCGCCGCGCCATTACGAGGTCCTTCTCCAAGCTTTCGCCCCTCTTGACAGCCGAGGAAAGATCGTCACGCTTGATGGAGCGCCGCAGTCCTTGGCCCTCGCCGTGCCGGTCTGGCCCCGTGTACTCACAGGCAGGCCGAGATCCGATCGCCGACTTCTCGCTTTTCAAGCCACAGAGCGCGACGCGGCGCCGCGAGCAAGGCTGCGACCTCTCTCGTGCAGGTTGGGGCCTGAGGGGGGCTTGTGCTGCCTGCTCATGCGCAGGCAGCACAAGCAGCCACACAAGTCAGCTTTGGGAGCTCTCGGCGACGCCCAATGCGTGCGCCGGTAGGGGGGAGTGTGTGCGCGCGTGTGTGAGATGAGGATTGTGGCAGGCTGGCTGCTGCTGATGTGGGCAAGTGTGCTCTGTGTGCGGCGCTGCGCTGGCGTGCGACGCGCGCGTGCTGTGTACGTGTGCGTGCTGCGGTCGCGCGCGCGTCTGTGTGTGCTGCGCGCGCGCCGCCGGTGTGTGCTGTGCGCTGTGCTCTGTTTTGCGCCCTGTTTGTGCAGCTGGGAGGCGCAGGCTTGGCTGGCAGGGCTGCGCGGTGGGCTGCGGCGTGCTGCGGGTGGTCGCGCGCCTGCCTGATGGTGTACGGCGGCCGCGCAGCCCGCCCGACCGGGTCGTCGGCGGCCCAGGGCGCGAGCATGCGGTCGGCGCTGCATGTGAGGCTGCTGCGCGGCTGGCGCGTATGTTTCCGTGCGGCGAGGGACGCGCGTATGTGTTCACGCTGCGGGCGCGGGCGGGCGCGGGGGGCGGCGCGGTCTCACCGCGGTCCGACGTCGGTTGGTCTTCGGCGTGGCGAGGGCGGGCGCGCAGAAGAGGCCTTGCCGCCATCGCGTTGCCGCGAAGGAAAAAGAATCTGGGCTCCCCTCGCGCAAAGGACGACTCTTCTGACGCCCACTGCGATCACATTTGCCGCCCCCAGTCACATATCGTTGCTCAGCCTCAGGTCCACTCTCTCTTCGAACACTTGTGCCTCCACGGACCAGCGCATAGCGCTTTCCCCGTATTTTCTTCTCATAACAAGGCTGTGAACGGTAGCTTGTGCGTCTTGGGGCCGTTGTGTTTTTGTGTGTTCAACTTCGCCAAAGAGGTGATCTGTGATTTGTAAGGGTCCGCCCGCAGGCGCATTTTGTATACCGAGGCGGTGCCCTGTGCCGAACCTGTCGGACCTTAAGACAGCATTGTAGATCCCTGGGCGAGGGTGGTGGCGTCCCCGTCGGGAGGGGCTGTCTGGGGGGGTGCCCTCCCACCGTCACCTCACCAGCGTCCCGGTGAGTACGGCGATCAGAGCTCCCCCGCTCGTCAGACTTCCCCGTTGGAGGTAGGCCGCTCGTCTAGCCAATCAGCCTTAAGCGAGCAGCCTGGCCGTTGGAATGGCCGGGTGGAGAGAGGGGCGGAGTCGGCTCGGAAGCGCGACTGCAGCCACGGGGACTGCCCGCCCACTCTCGTCGGCTCGGGTTGAGGGGAGGACGACTGTCTCTGACGGCGGACCTCAGTTACGAGCCGCCCTCCCCTCGAGACGCGAGGCCAGCGCACTTGGGGCCGAGCCCCAGCGTGCACCGCCCCACACGCCTCATTGGTGGGAGGGCACCCCCCCAGACAGCCCCTCCCGACGGGGACGCCACCACCCTCGCCCAGGGATCTACAATGCTGTCTTAAAGGTCCGACAGGTTCGGCACCGGGCACCGCCTCGGTATACAAAATGCGCCTGCGGGCGGACCCTTACTGCTTACAGATCACAGATGTCGGCAGCCCGAGCGCCGTCGACCGCACCGACTACGGCACAGCCTCCGGCAGCGCCCGGGGCTTCGCCCAGCACCACTCGCAACAGCTCTCGCGCGCCGCCGTCTGTGGCGACGCGCAAAACATCAACAACGCTGCTCGCAACATGCGTGTCGCGCACTCATTCATGACCGGTCTCAATGTCCCACCCCCCTGCGCGCGGGCCTTCTAGGCCCGCGGGTAGTCTCACCCCATCCCCAGGGCCTCCAGGGCTCGCACCTCAACCTCTCACAGACCAGCGCATAGCGCCATACTACGTATTTTCTTGTCAATAACAAGGCTGTGAATTCCCAGGGCCTCCAGGGCTCGCACCTCAACCTCTCACAGACCAGCGCACAGCGCCATAGGAGGTATTTTCTTCTCAATAACAAGGCTGTGAACGGTCATCGCATTCGCCTTCCTGGGACCCAGCGCTGACTTCTGACTGTCGTTGCTGTCTCTCCCCCTTCTCGACTGTCTGTGCTTGTGCGTCTTGGGTCCGGAGTTGTGCGTTTATGTGAACGGTAGCGGTACCCCATGTATCGTAGTCTTCGTTACTACCATTTTTTTTGAGTTTTGGCACTGATAAATTCGCGGCGTTCGCAGCGAGCCGAGCCAGGCCACGGCGCTCGGCCTGCTGAGAGAATACCTTCCCCGACGGCAGTGACAATTTACCCGACATCAATCGTCGACGGCAAGCTCGAGAACTGCGCCTCCAAAGTCGCCCAGATTCGCCTCTCGCGGCGCGCTGAGTTAGTATCGCCGGTGCGCCAGCTGGCTCTGCTCCACAGCAGGGCATGCCTGACTGGCTCCTGCTAGCCGTGCGTCCTGGTGGCATCCATTGCCAGCTCAGGTAGCCTCAGGAGGTCGCCTCGCGCACGACTCGGCGCCGCACAGCACCGCTCCGCGTTACTACCGAGTTAGTATCGTCGACCCACAGAGACTGCTCTTCTGTAGGTGGAGCCGACAAACGCCGGCCGGGTCGGCCCCGCCGCCCCCATCGCCGCCGCCGGGGCGGCGGCGGCCTCGGCGGACCATCCGGCGCGCCGCGCGCCCGACGGGGAGGTGTTCACCACTCCTGGCTCCTCACCCCGCCACGCCTTCGTGCAGACGCCGTGGCACCCGCCTCAGGCGCCGCTCGGACTCGGTTGACGGCCGCCCAAGTGCTTGGCTCGTGCCCAGCCGACCGGCAGGCGATGCCCACTCGCTGCTAGGCTAATCCCGGGCTGTCAAGCGGCGGTGTGGTGCCGTGAAGGGCAGCGGTGCCAAAACTACGACTATTAGTACCGTGCGGGGGCAGTGCATTTAATTCTGTCAAAAATCGAAATGTGCTCCGTGGGACGTATTGGGCTAGGATCATACGTCCGGGAGGCCCCCCATGCGTGCCGCAACGACCCACAGTTCTGGTACCACTCTCTTCACGTTCACAGCTGTAAGTGTCCCATAACTCCGATACATGGCGTAGCTTGAATCGCTCTACCGGGCCGACCGCTGCTCAGCCTCTGCTCAGCCTGTCGACATGTCACAGCAGCGTGACACGGCGTTCGCCGCGTCGCTTGTTGTTGCCTCGCTCGCGCTCGCCGTGCTCCTCGCGCGGCGGCGGCGGCGGCTGCCCGCTCGCTTCGATCTCCAGCGGCTGGTGCGTCCGTGCGTCCTCCGGCTCGCGCCCTACACCTTCCCGCCTCGCTTTGGCCTCGCCGAGGCGCCTGTGCTGCTCGACGCCAACGAGAACCCGCACGGGTCAACCGTCGAGGCGCTGGACGCGGCGCTGCACCGCTACCCCGACCCGCGACAGGCGAGGCTCAAGGCGGCCATCGCAGGCCTTCGAGGATGTGCGCCGTCGCAGGTTGTGGTGGGCTGCGGCTCAGACGAGATCATTGACCTCCTGATCCGGGTGACGTGCGAGCCCGGCCGCGACTCGATCCTGGTCTGCTCGCCGACATACGCAATGTACCAGATCTTTGCGAGCGTCAACGACGTCTCCACGGTCGACGTCCCGCTCTCCGCCGACGACTACCAGCTGCGAGTTGGCGCGATTCTGCAGTCGCTCACGCCGCGGGTGAAGCTCGTCTTCCTGTGCTCGCCGGGCAACCCGACAGGGCGGCTTCTCCGGCGCGCCGACATCGAGGCCATCGCGGCGGCCGCCACAGGCTCGCTCCGCTGCCGCCAGCCTTTGCTGCCGCCGCCCTCCGCCACCGCCTCATCCTCTCTCCGCCGCCGCGCTCTGTCCATCGCAGCCGTGCCAGAGCCCGCCCTCCTCCTCCCCGCGGCGGCAGGGTCGCTCGTCGTCGTCGACGAGGCCTACGTCGACTTTGCGCCCGACGAGGCCGCCGCGTCGTGCGTCCCGCTCGTCGGCCGCACGCCGAACCTCGTCGTCTCGCAAACCTTCTCCAAGGCGTGGGGGCTGGCGGGCGCGCGGGTGGGCGTCGCCGTTGCGCCCGAGCCGCTCGTCTCCGCCCTCGACCGCGTCAAGGCGACTACGCTCCTCGCCCGGCCGCACGGCCGCCGAGCGGACACGTCCATAACGCACGTGACATGACCATGACCTGTCCCGCGACGCCCACAGGCGCCGTTCAACCTGTCCACGCTGGCAGAGCAGGCGGCTCTGCGCGCCATCCGGGCGGCCCCCGCCGTGCGGGCGCAGCGGGACCGCGTCCTCGCCGAGAGAGATCGCGTCGCCGCAGCGCTCTCCGCCCCAGAGTTCGCCAGCGCCGTGCGGCGGGTCTCGCCCTCGGACGCCAACTTTCTGCTCGTGCGCGTCGCCAACTGCCGCGCGGTGTGCGACGCGCTCGCCGAGCGGCACGGCGTGGTGGTGCGGTACCGCGGCGGCATGCTGCATTGCGACGGCTGCATGCGCGTGACCATCGGCACCGAGGAGGAGAACGAGAGGATGCTGGCGGCGCTGCGGCGTGCGGTCGCCGAGCCAGCGTGATCGAGAGGAGTACGCGATGCTGCTGTTAAAGCCGTACGGGACAGCGCAATACGGTCGCACGCCGAGTTCTTATGTAACTTTCATAAATACCGTTGCACTTTGGAGCACACTTGGAGTGCAGTCATTAACCTCACATCCAGGGCCAGGGAGCTGAGAAGCGCACCCAGCGAGCCGGATGATCGGTATCGGGCTACGGGCTAGAGTTGCTACTTACGTCTTGCCGCGAAAAAAATATCCGCGCGATCTTTGGACTTCTTGCATCTTGGTCGTAACGTCGGCCGCGTTCATGTACCGTATGCAGGCAGGGAATGGCGTCGGACCCGGAGCTAAATGAGACACGGCGCTCGTTCTTCAGCCGTCAAGGCCTCGCCTCGCTCATGTGGCAGCCGCCCGGAGCTGACGAGACGACGACTCGGCTGCCACACGCAGACGACTCACAGGCAGACACTCTCGTGCGCGACGCATACATTAAGAGGCTGGGGCTGAAAATGGCGGATGGTGGGCATGCCTCCTGGGGAACGGTGCGTGTCTTGGGGAAGAACGTGGACGCTGAGATCGTCAGCAGCGAGGCCAGCTTCGCCTGCCTCGCGGCTGACACGGAGCTCAACCTTGTCGCGGAGCTCCTCAAAGCCAACTGGAGGCTGCGGCCTCCGTCGGTGCTGCTGTCAGTCACAGGGTCTGCCCAGGACATGGCTCTCGAGCCGCACCTCGAGCTTCTCTTCAAGCGAGGGCTCGCCGAGTCTGCGCGCTCGACCAACGCATGGGTCATAACGGGCGGTACCGACAGCGGGGTGATGGCTCTGGCGGGCGCAGCGATCGCCGAAAACTCCTCTGCCCGAGGAGAGTTGACGCCTTGCATCGGGATCGCGCCATTTCGGTGCGTAACGGGCAAGGACAAGCTCCACGGACCGGGCGCCGGAGAGCGCACCGTCAGCTATCGAAAGGTGAGAGCAAACTCGACAGTGTCGGCCGCCCTCGTCAAGGCGAAGTCGACGGAGCACTTCTTGATGAACCGCGTGCTCAAGCTGAAGGGTTACCTCGTGCAGTACGTCGTGCCCATTCCCTTCAACATGCCGTACATGCTCTGGGACCTCATGTGGCAAGGCGTCGCCTCGCTCGGCGCGTACTGTCGCAGGGCGGGGCGGCGGCCAAACGCGGGAGTCCTCGGCATCAAGCAGACCCGCGTCGGCATCGAGCCTGTGCAGGATCTCGAGAAGCCGCTCGCCAGCCCGCCCAAGAAGGTCTGTTTCGACCTGGCCGATGACAACGAGGCGGCCAATGGGAACGGCGCGCCGAGGCCACTTCAGAGGCAGGGGACACTCGGGCGTTTGGAGGCGAGCCGAAAGCTGCTGCGGCAAAACACGCGGCGGCAGCTGGCGACCGTGCGAGCCGTCAAGAATGTGCGGAAGGAGGCGTCCACCTCTGTCGCTCGCTCGGTCGACTTGACGGAGGCGCATGCGCGCGATCGGTACCTCAAGCAAATAGAGGAGGAGGGGGCAACGGCCGCAGACTTCAGCCAGCTGGAGGTGCGGCTCAGGCGACTCGAAGGCGCCCTCACCGCCCAGCTTCGCGAGCTGGCCTCGCAGCTAGAGGCGCGGCCCGCCTTGCCGCCGCGCGCATCTGGCGCTTGCGCGGCGCAGACGCCCTCGCCGCGCGAGATGCAGTCTGCCGTGTCAGGGGACGAGACGGCGCCGTCGAGGAGTGCCGTGGTCGCTGGCTCGCCCCTGATGCGCTTCCGCCGCGGCAGGGAGCCTTCACATCGCTCGCCGCCGCCGCCGCCACCGCCGAGGCCCTTCCTCTAGAGCTCGGAGGTGTGAGAGCGGAAAGTACGGCAAGAGCCAAGAGAGTGAGGTATCACATGTACTGCGTATACGTTTGGGTCATATGTGTCAAACACACAAAGAATGCACGACTTGTGGTTTCAAAAAATGGCGGCGGTGGCGTCCGAGCCGCCCCGGCTGACGAAGAGTAGCACCGCCTCGTCCTCGTCGACCTCCCCCAGGGGGCCCCGCAGTGGCCGCTGCTCCGAGTGCAGCCCGCGCGCGGCGCACTCGCAGTGGAAGGCGTCCGTCGTCTCCCAGTCCTCGCGCCACTCATACGCCAACAGCACCGCGCCGCCCGCGGCCAGCAGCCCGTCCATCGTCGCCACGAGCTTCACCACGTCCTCTTTGCTCTGAAAGTAGAGAATGTCGGCGCCGAGCACCACCTCGTACGCGCCGCGGCTGAGCGCCTGCTCGATGTGCGCCTGCTCTCCCCAGAGCAGCTCCTGTGCGATCAGGCGACACCCCTCGTGCGAGGCACTGGCGGCAGCGGCGTTGGCGCGCAGAAGCGACATCGCGGCCGGCACGTCAGTCAGCACGACCTCGGACGCGCCGAGCGCCGCTGCAGCGATGCCAGTGAGGCCGATTCCTGCGCCTAGCTCAATGCAGCGCTTGCCCTGGATGAGCTCGGGCGCCTCGCAGAGGTGGCTGGCCAGGTGTCTGCCACAAGCCCACAGGACCTGCACACGCAAGCAAGCGGCCGGATAGGAGGGGTGGTTGTCGAGAGATCACTAGCACGCGCGGTGGTGGTGCACACCGAAGAGGTGTCGGGCCGGAAGCCCGCCGAGCCAGCAGCGTGCTGCGCCACCTCGAGCGAGCCCCCATTGCGCAGGTTCGGGTGCGTCAGCCGCACCACCGGCGTCTTCTGGTCGACGTTGTGGATCATGGCGTCGGCGAGGAGCAGCACGAGAGATGCGTTGGTTGTGCGGCAGCACTCGGGGACGGGACGCAGCACCAGTTATGGAGAAACTAGTGTGGGCCCTGCGGCGGTACCCGTCTCTGTTGTTCGGGCAGTGAGAGACGCAGGATCTGCACGCCAAAGTGGGCCACTCATTTGCATTTTGGTTTTGGGTTGTCGGAGATCATCCATCAGCACTCATGTCTCATCAGTCAGTCACGTCAGTCAAAGCAGTTCGTGGCACTCATCAGTCAGTCACGTCAGTCAAAGCAGTTCGTGGCACTCATCAGTCAGTCACGTCAGTCAAAGCAGTTCGTGGCACTCATCAGTCAGTCACGTCAGTCAAAGCAGTCGTGGCACGTGGAGCAGTCGCTGCATGCAACGGCGCCGCCACACGCTCCGGACGACCCCGACAACCGACACACCACGCACAATGGAGGCTATCGCGCACGATCGGGCATCGCGCCGCAAACAACTCGCCGCACAGATGGGGGGGGGGGCAGAATCCCACACACACCGGAGCAGCACAGACACCTTACTTACACGTCAGCGCTCGCTCGATGTGGCCGGCGCTCTCCCCTCGGTCCTATCTCGCCTTTTCAACGGCGGCGTGCGGCCACGCGCCGCGCCGAGCCGGTCTCGGCGGGAGACCTCGGAGCCGCACGCGATGCGGGCATGCGCGATGGCTCCGTTGGCTCCGTGCCTAAGGCAGATCGATTAGGGTGTGAGCTGCGGCAGCCACCGTTTCTGTACCCGCTCGATCACGTGCAGGCCGTCGGAGGCCGCGCTGGATGGCCCAGGGCCGGCGGCGGTGAAGGCGTCCGTCGATGAAGGGATGTCGTCGAGGGAGCCATCGTCCTACGCATACGGTGCACCGGTCCAGTTGTCGGAGTTCGAGATCGCAGTCGACTTGGAGAGTGTGTTCGGCCCGTTGACGAACTCACGGAATGTGAGCGACTTGGTGCACGCTGGGTCGAGCATCATGACTCGCACCTCATCCTGGGCGAGGAACTCGCCCAGGGACCAGCTGTTGGCGTCGCCGTTTTGATCGAGCTGCATCCACTGCATGGTTTCGTAGTCAAGCGTAAACGCCCAGGAGTTGGTGCCTGGGTGACTTGCTGATGAGAGCGCCTTCCAGGCGGGTAGTCGTGCCCCTCACCTACGGTCATACGGCGGCGTCAGAGGGGGGGAAGGGGCGCGAAGCGTGAACATGGAGGCAAGCAGGTTGGTTTCTGCACCTGGCCAAAGCCGGCGACCTCGAAGTTGTCGTAGCTTGTGCGGATATCGCTGAGCGTGAGAGGGACCGGATCGGCAGCAGCATGGGCGGCCGCGTCAGCGGCCGGAGAGGCCGGAGAGCCATCCGACGGAGGCCGGTCGTGCATCGGCGCGTCAGCCGCAGGGGCCGGGGGGGGCGGCGGCATCCATCGCTGCGGGTCGCTGCGGGCCGACGATTGTGGACGGAGGCCGACTGCAGCTGGGACGTTCTACGGTTAAACCAAGAGCGTCGGCGCCGACACGAGAGACTTATAAGGGTAGAAGAAAACCGACTAGCTTTCTGCAGTCCAGCTATGATCGAACTGCCCGCCGGACATGTCGGAACCGTCCGACTATAGTGACTAGCACACCTCTGTCAAGAGTCCCCAGAAACCCGAGAGAAGATAAACCCCACACCGGGGTGTCCGCTTTTCTCTGCGCATGCTCGAGCTCCCGGCGAGGGCTTGTGCTGTGAATAGCAGGCGTGCAGTTCTCGCCAGCTGTACCCAGCTGCTTCCCTTCCCTAGTCACCGTGGCCCAACGGGGTCCAGCCTGCACCCCGCAGGCTGTCGAGCGCTGGTCCCGGTACCACACTGCGGTTGTCCAATGCCAGCGCGAATCGTCCTGTGCATCGCCGCAGTCGCCGCCGCCGCCGCCAGCCTCGACGTCGGCGGCGCTGCAGCTCCCGCGCAGGCTCGGCTGAGGGAAGGCCTCGAGGCGGCCCGCGCCGGAGACGCCACTGGCGCCTCACGCCTGCTCGAGGAGGCCTCCCGGCTCGACCCTGCATCCTCGCTGCCCGTGCTCAAGCTGGCCAACGTGCAGTATCACCTGGACGGCGACGCCGCCGCCGCGGAGGCGACGTACGAGCGTGCGCTGCGCATCGAGCCGTCCCACGACGCGCACTTCTTCCTCGGCAGGTTGCGTGCTGCTGCGGGCCGGCACGCAGAGGCGGCCGCCTCCTTTGAGGCGGCGCTGCAGTGCGACGCCTCGTCGGCGGCGTGCCGTGCCGAGCTGCTCGCCTCGTACCTCGCTGCAGGCGAGCCGCAGGAGGAGGCGGAGCTCGGGCTGCTGGCGGCGTGCTGCCGCGCGGACGCGGCGGACGTGGCGAGCCACCGCAAGCTCGCCTCGGCGCTGCAGGAGCGCGGGAGGCTGGCCGAGGCGGCCGAGGCGCTCGAGCGGCTCATCGCAGTCGCGCCCGCCGACGCGGCCGCCCGCTTCAACCTCGGCTTGGCGATGCAAAAGCTCGGCGACGACGGCGCGGCCGCCGCGCACTTCCTCGGCGCGGCGGGCGCGGCGGCGGCCGGCGGCGGGGCCCCGGCGCCCACGTTCGAGTCGCATTTCGCCGCCGCCGGCTGCCTTGGCCGGCTGGGTCGCACCGCAGAGGCCGAGGCGGCGTACCGCGCTGCGATCGGCGCGGCGAGGGACGATAAGCAAGGCCACGATGCGTACTTCAACCTCGGAAACCTGCTGCGCCGCGCCGACGCGTATGGCGGTGGTGCCGGAGCGAGGTCGCGAGCCGCCGAGGCGGCGGCGGCGTTCGAGGCCGCGGTCCGTCTCGTGCCGACCTCCGCCGACGCCTACTACCAGCTTCGCCGCCTGCGGGGCGTGCCGCACACAGTGACGTGCCCCGCCGACCAGCCGCTCGTCGAGGTGCGGCCACGCGGGCTGGCGGACAGCGCCTTCAGCGGGCTCGCCGCCGCCGTGCAGTCGCACCCTTGGCTGATGCGGCCGAATCGGCTCTCCGAGTCGTTTGCGGGCACGCGCGGCTTTGTGGTCCGCTTCAACCGGCGTGGCCTCGACGCGCGGGTCCGGAGCCATCCCCAGCTCCAGGGCCTGCTTCCCTTTGTCGACGCTGCGGCGCTGCCCGCCGCAAACGTGTTTGTGCTCAACGTCCTCGTGGTACGCCCCGCCGCCGCCGCCTCAACCGATGCGCCGCCGCCCGCGCCGCCCCAAGAAGGGGGCGGTGCGTGGTGGGAGGACGCGCAGTTGGCCGTCAAGCGCCACCTCGATATCACGGGCGCCATCTGCTCGGCGTCGCACTCGTACGTCGCGCACCAGGTGGACGTGCTCTACGTTGCGGTGCCGGCCGGCATGCGCGGAGGGCGGCTGCTGGTGTGGCCACCAGAGCCGCCCGGCCGGCCAGCATCGGTCCCTCCGCCCGCCGAGATCGTAGCGCCCGCCGCAAACATTTGGGTTTCTTTCCGGGGCGACGCCAAGCACGGCGTGGAGCGGTGTGATTTGCCCTCCACCGGCAGCGACGCCGTGCGCGTCTCGCTCGTGCTCGAGCAGTATGTGTGTCCCGAGGCGGTGCTGCCGCTCTCGCAGACATTTGAAATCGTCGGCGTTCGGCCTTGAAACACGACGTAGGTTGCAGAGATGTGCAGCGGTTTTGTGATTGTGTTTTGTGTGAGTTACAATCCGAGCTTGGAATAGACGCGCGGCTGAAAAAATAATAAAATATAAATATACACGTTTATGTCTTATGAATTAAATGTGCAGGCTATGGTATGAACGCGGGGCCACCGTCTAGATCTCGTCCTAAGTCGCCACAGTCAGGGCATAAATCCCCTAGCGCGCAGCAAGCGCTCTGCCGCTCGACTCTATGCCGTGCAAGCGCCTCTCTCATCTCCTCCTGCACCTCCGCGTACTGCGGATAGCTGCGATATTCGGAGGAGTTCTCCTCTTTCGGCCGGAACGGGTAGTGTGCGCGGTTGTAATTCTCGTCCCAGTCGATCGTGTGGTCATAAAACATGTTGTCGTTGTCGGCCCGTCGTATGCTGTCGATGGTCGTTGTGATCTCGTTGATGGTGCCGTTGGACGTTGAGGAGCAGGCAGGCCCGCAGCGCTCGATCGACCTGAACGTAGTGGCGGACAACCGTTGAGGGGCTGGGTGGGTGGGCGGAGGGTCGGGGATGGGAGGTGGGGGCACCAGCAAGCTTCCGCACAGTACTCGCTGTACTGGTAGTCCTCAACCACGCGAGTGCTCGTGTTCATTGGCTGAACTCGAATGGTGTCGCCGTCGAGATAGCGCGCGAAAATAGCGTCCTGTGTTTGAGGGGGCAGAGGAGCGTCTCAGGCGGTGCTCTCAGAGGGGGGGGGGGGGGGGGCATGGTCGGGGCTCCCGGGCGCCTTGAAGTGTGAGGTGGGGTCCTTCATGAGCGAGACCAAGCTCTTGCCCTGGAGGTGGCGTGGGAAGGGGATCTCGTTTAGCTCGAGCACGGTCGGGAAGATGTCGATGTTTTCCACCAGGGCTGGCACCCTCGACGGTGCGTATCCCGGCGCTTTGATGATGAGCGGTACATGCAGCGTCTCCTCGTAGACCGAGTGTTTGCACCACGTCCCCTTCTCACCCAAATGGTAGCCGTGGTCGCTGGCGAGCGTGATGATTGTGTCCTCGTACATGTTTAGATACTTGAGCTCGTCGATGAGGCGGCCGATCAAGGCATCGACGTACGACACGCTGGCGTAGTAGCCGTGCCTCAGCGTGCGCGCCATCGAGTCGTTCAGGGGGTTGAGGTAGCCGTAAGGCGGGATGTTGTTGTAGTTCTTGAGCTCAAAGTAGTGGAGCGAACGCTTTGGCGCGTCGACCGCGAGGTATGGGTTATCTGCCAACTCGATCGATTCAAGGTCGTACATCTCCCAGTACTTCAGTGGCGCGTTGAAGGGGAGGTGAGGCCGATTGTACCTGCAACGATGTCGGGGCAAAGTTGAGGGAGGGGTCAGTGAGGGGCGATCAGACGTGGCGGCGGAATCTAGCGGGCGGGAGGAGTGGGGGGGGAGGGGGGTGGGCGCACCCTGCGGTGAGGAAACAGGGTGTCCCAGCGGCCTTGCACTTGTGCATGTCGTTGATCACTTTGGCTGTCATTTTGCCGTCCGGGTAGAGCCCGCCTGATGGATTGACCATGCCGTCGTCGATCTCCTCAGTCCAAATCCACGCCGGCACCCCGGTCCCCCAGCCCGCGCGCGGATCAGCCGCCCGAACGCCCCAAGGTCGAGGCGGGCGCTCCTCCGGGTTGAGTTCAAAGTAGTAATCTGTCTCTTGCTGCTCGGCGCCGTGTAGACACACGCGAGTACAGCGCACCCTTCTTCCTCGCGCGATCGTTATCTCTCCTGTCGCTTCTGCCAACAATATAAACAATTCCTATCTCTCCCCGTAGAGCTGTCAAACGTTAAGAGCTGAACAGTGTTGCTAGTGTCAATACAGTAACAACAGAACAACAGTTGGGCTCCAACAACAGTAGCTAACGTTAGGCCAGCTGAACAACAATAAGGAAGGCCTACCAGTGACCCACGACGATCTCCAGCGTCCAGTGCGGGTAATACCCGAAAATACCTGGAAAACAGATATACTCCTTTACCGCGTGTGTGGCACAGCCACAGGCAGAGACCAGAGACTCCAAGTGATGATGTAGCCCGACATGCACAGGCCACAGCACCGCAGCGATGAACTGAGACTATGGACGGAGCTGTCAGCTTTGCCGGACGGAGCTGTCAGCGATGCCGCAGCCGCCTGCCGCTCCTGGGGACGGTGCCTCACAAAAGAATTTTAACAAAACAACTCTCTCTCACAGCAGACAGGCTCGACATAGGTGCGAACTGGCGCAAAAGAATTTCACAAAAGAATTTTACAACAAAACTCCCTCCCACGACAGTCAGAGTCACCGAGCCTGACTGTTGTTCATCTTTCTACATACATACATACGACACTGGGCACGGGACTGGCGTGCACTGGCACTAACACAGGTACACCACGGACGAGTCCTCTTTCTTTCGGGACTGGCGCGCGCCATGAAGAATTCCAGGGTCAAACAAACAGGGGGACGGCTAGCAACACACTCCTTCCTGTCTGTGAAATCCCTGTGTTGGATGGGTTTGAGCTGCCGGGGGAGCGAGATTGAGGTCTCGTGAGATTATTCAGATGTGAGAGATTGAGAGTTTTCGATCTGACGGAGGCCTCGGGAGGTCTGAGTACTGAGATTTGAGGGGCGGAAAGTGCGGCCGCCTACAAATATCAGAACCCACATCGCGACTTCATACAGCCGCGCTCTCTCACAGTCTCACTCACAAACGACAAACGTGACATGTGCGTCTCCTATCGCTATCGGCACGGTACCACTGTACGACTCTCGCCCGCAGCGCCGCGCTCTCACCCGCCTCACGCAAAGCTCTCGCCTCGCGGCTTAGACCGCCGCCTCGCCGTCGTCGAGTGCGGCCTGAGTCTCCTTGCCAGCAGCCTCACCAGCGTTCGCCGCCTCCTCGGGCGAGCTGCCGGCGATGAAGGCCTCGCCGGCGGCCTCGCCCGCGGCTTCGGCTGCCACGGGCGACAAGCCACCGTCGAGCGCCCTCTGGGCCGCCTTGGCCGCCGCCTCGCGCTCCTTGGCCTGAAGAGTGTGCAGCAGCTTGAGCCGGTTCACGGGATTCATCTCTCCCTTCGACCTGTGCAGGGTCCAAGCGCCGCGCTTGAAGAGCGTCCCCACCGTGCACTTGCCGAGCGTGTGGCACTCGTACGACGCGCACGTATTCCACACCACAACCTCGAACCCCAACGCCGGAGGTTTGCTGTTCTCGTACTCCTCGCAGATGAAGCGGAGGTACTCGAGAACGTCGTCCACCACCTTGGTCGTCCACTTCTTGCGGGTGCGGGCTTGCTGGCTCCGCTGGCGCAGGCTGACGACGAGCTCGCTCGTCTCGTTGACAACAAGCTTGCCGTTGTGTTTCATGCTGTGCAGGAAGACGGACTCGAACCTGGGCATGCCCTCGGGCGGGTCGCGGCTGTTATCGCGAACGGCTTCGAACCAGTAGAACGCCTCCATCTGCGCCTCCTGTGGCAGACCAAGCTCGTCTAGCATGTATTGCACATTGAGAGCGCCAAGATTCTTGGTTTGGTGGCGCCTTTTGATCTGCTCCACGAAGCAGCCAGTCGTGTCTTTGAGCTCACTTGTCTTGTCTCTGAGCAGCAGCTCGTCGACGAGCGTGGTCACGTCCTCCACCGGCCGATACCTCTGGAAGGTCTCCAGCTGTTCCTCATGGTACTCCGTCGACTCCTGCTCCTTCTCCTTCTGGAGCGTGGCCACCTTGTCCTCGTATGCCGCCTCCATCTGCTTCTGTCGCTCGCGGTCCTCCCGCTGCTGCCTCGCCGCCTCCGCGCGCACCTTCTCGATGGCCTCCTGCTTCTCCTTGGTGTACCCCTCCGCCACGTCCTTCACGATCGCCCGCATCTGCTCCTTGCGGGCGCGCTCCTTCTGCTCCATCCCCGCGCTCAGCAGGTCGAGCTCCTGCTTCAAGTCCTTTGCCTCCTTCTCTTTGAGCCGCGCCTTCTCGGCCAGCAGCTGCTGCTGCACGGCCAGACTCTGCTCCACCCCCTCCTTCTCGGCGGCAAACTCGCTCCGCAGCTGCTCCATGCGACGCTCGTGCGCGCCGTTCTGCTGCCGCAGCTGCTCCCGCACCGCCTCGAGCTCGCGCGCCATCGCCTCCCGCGCCTGCGCTCGATCGCCTCCCTAGCCAGCACGGAGGGGCGTGAGCGCAGCCCGTGTGGCGTCGAAGTGGGAGCGTGCGCGCGGGCGGCGGTGCGTGGGTCTCACCGCTCGGCGTACTGGTCCTTGAGCAGCTGCGCGTTGGCCGCCTCCTCCTCGCGCAGCTTCCTCTCCTTCTCCGCCTCCTGCACCGAGCGCAGCAGGAGCCGGGCCTGCTCCTCCCTCTGCATCCTCTTCGCCTCCGCCACCTCCTGCTCGAGCTCGTTCTTCCGCCGGAAGACCACCACCGTGCGGAACAGCTTCTTCTTCGCCCACTGCTCGTTCTTCCACCGCCCGTTGTACACGTGCTCCTGCACCCACTCCGACTTGATCAGCGCCTTCTCCTTCGCCGCCGCCTCCTCGGTCTTGCCCTCCCCGCGCAGGCGCACCACCTCGTCCCGGTCCATGCCGCACGTATCGAGGAAAGCCTTCGCCCTCTCCCAGCCGGAGTGGTCCTTCTCGAAGACGAGGACGGCCCGCCCCGTAAAGGGCCCCAGGTAGATCGGGTGCGCGTCCTTGACGCCTTGCTTCCCGAAGCTCTGCAGCAGCAGGTTCGACGAGTTGAGCTCCCCCGGCAGGCCGCTGATATGCAGCAGCGGCGGCCAGGGAACGGTGGCGTCGAACGCATGCGCGTCCACCTTTGCGCCGAACCGCTGCACCGGCGCATCGTGGCGCTCACGCATGATGCGCGCCAGCATAATGTGGCCGTCCCGCGCGCGCTTGGAGAAGTCGTCGTCGTCGTCGTCGTCGTCGTCGTCGTCGTCGTCGTCGGCGGCGGCGGCGGCGGCGTCCGAGACGCGCTGCTGCTTGTTCGTCACGCCGCCCACCTTGTCGGCGTGCTGCTGGAGCGCGCCCCAGTTTTTGCACGGCTGGGATCTGCAAGGCGCGTGCCCTTCCATGCACCTCTGCGCGTTCGAGGGGTGCTCGGGCCAGCCGAGTGCCTTGGCCATCGGCTGGTACCGCTTGCCCAGATACTCCTCGAGCTTTGGGAGGCCTCGCGCTGTGAGCGGGCACAGGATCGGCTGCTGTCGCTGCCGGCTCTGCGAACTCGCGGCGACATACTTGCAAAGGGCAGGCTTGAGCGTCTCGAACGGGTTGGGGTCCTCCCCGTCAGACGCGCCCGGAGAGTAGCAGCCGTCGTCCGACCCATCGGGCTGCTGCGCTGCCGCCGGTGGCTCTTCCCAGCGACTGCCGCTACTCCCGCCGCCACTGCCGCGGCCGCCGCCTCCGCCACTGCCGCGGTCGCCGCCTCCACCGCCGCCGCCATCGCCCCAGCCGCCGCGGCCACCACCACTACTGCCCCAGCCGCCGCCGCCGCCGCCGCCGCCGCCGCCACTGCTGCCGCTGCCGCGGTCGCCAACACTACTGCCCCAGCCGCCGCCACCGTTGGAGCGGTAGCCGTCACGATTGGCGTAGTGCGAACGGCTGACGCCATCAAAGCCAGTGTGTCGGGGCCGACTGCTGCTGCGATACCGCTCATCGCGATACCTGTCGCGATACCGATCGCCGTGGCCCCCGTACAGATGGCCCTCTCGCTCGCGCGAACGCTTCGTCATGCTGAGGACACTCAACAGAAAAGAATTTACACAGGGGCACACAGCCCCTTCCCCTCCCCCCTCAAGGGCGAGGACACGCACAGGCCGCACCTCTAGTGAGGCCCGCATAGTATGTGGGAGACTCGTGCCGCCGCCCCTGCCACCCCTGTGTCAGTGTGCCTGTGGTAGGAGAGACTGCCAGCGACAAGCTGGAGGCAGGTCGCTAGACTGAGATGAGACCGCCAGTGGATGTGGGAGTCCACCGCGCACCGCGCTGCGAGCCTGTCGTGTCCCTTGTCAGGAGCAGGAGAGCCCCACCTGTCCCCCTGATCGCGTTCTTCCAAAATCCTGCTCGTGCAGGTGTGGGGACCCTGTCCTCGTCCCATCCCTCGTTTGGCGTGTCTGTTTTCTTTCTTTCTTTCTTTCTTTCTTTACACAGCCACTCTCTCTCACAGAAGACAACCAAAAGAGTTGTCCAGAGAGTATTTTGTAGTGTGTTGTGCCCACGATCAGAAACAAAGTTGAAGAGCGGAGACCCCCCCCAGACCCCACTCTAGCCGGTGGACCCCCGGGATCGCCCCGGTCGGGCCCATATCTTCTTCCCACTCTCCCCCTGCCCCCCAATCTGCAATCCGACCGCCCTCTGGCGGCGTGAAAACTGTGGGACATCCGCTCCAACAAGAAATCTGTAGCGGGACTCACCTGGGCCCACGCGGCCGCCCGTCGCGCCCTCGCGCATTCTCGCGGCGCTGCGCGTCGCGAGGTCTGCCACGCTCGTCGGGGGGGCGATGGCGCTTATGCCGGTCCTCCTGCCCGTGCTCCCGCCGCTCCCGCCCGCGCTCCTCACCCGAGCCCTTGTGGTGACCGGGCGCGCCATCTCGCGGCCGCTTGGGCCGGTCGCCGCGCGCCGGCTCCGCCTCGCCGCCCCGCTCGTCGACACTGACGAGCAGCCGCGAGCCTGCGGGGCGTCGGTGGGGCGCGGGCAGGGCGCAAGTGGCGTCAGTGGAGGCGCGGGCGGCGGGCGCGAGCGGTGCGGGCGCGGGCGCGCGCCGTGCGTCTCGAGCCTCAGCGACGGCAGGACCGAGAGGAGGTCGTGCAGGTTTGCAAAGGCCGTGCGCACGCCAGTCGAGAGCGGCGCCAAAGTGGCCC